GCATTCATATGGATACGCTTGGCAAATAACTGGCTATCAGCCGGATGTCTCTCCAGGAGCTCGTCTTCGGTGGTGCGGCTTTGGTCTCAACAGTCAGAGAGGTAGCAGTGGTGGTTTTGCCCAAAAAAGGGATTTTCGCAGGTGCGTTCTGATTATCCACAAGCGCCTAAGGCAGGGGTCGGGTGGCTCACACCCCCGGGCCGTGGTGCGTGTCCGTTCAAGGAAAAAGGGAGAATCTCCCGGCTTAACTGCGGTTTCCGGCGGTGTCACGAAAGAGGGTACAGTTGTTTCTTCCCTGCTTCGAAGGCCAAAACAGCAGGTTCTCAGAGCCTGGCTTGACATCTCCTGGCAATTTTGGTGTGTACGAGGGAGCCCAAAAATACAACCAGACACTGTGCATCTTTGCACTCAAGAGGTACACGTGGTGTTTTCGCACGGTCGGAAACAGAGGCGTCGTTCGTGACAGCGTCGGCCTGTCCGGTGTGGTTGGTTGTGGCAGGTCCTGAAGAAGATAGCCAACCACACGGCGAAACGCTGGAGACGGACTGGACCAGGGGTGCCCGAAAGAGTGGGCATATTCAGCCTTACGCGAGAAAGGTGACCAAAGGAAGTTGCGCAGTCAACTGTTTTTCGGCGACCCTGGCGCGGCTTAGCCCTTGCCAGGCGAGCCTGAGGCGGGTGTTCAAATAATGCCTTGTATGTTGCACTAATATGGATATGCTTTGCAAATGAGTGGTTATCAGCCGAAAGTCTCTCCAGGAACTCGTCTTCGGTGGTGCGGCGTTGTTCTCAACAGTTAGAGAGGTAGCAGTGGTGGCTTTGCCAAAAAGGGGTTTTCGCAGGTGCGTTCTGATTATCCGCAAGCGCCTAAGGCAGGGGTCGGGTGGCTCACACTCTCGGGCCGTGGTGCGTGTCCGCTCAAGGAAAAAGGGGGCGATCTCCCGGCTTAATTGCGGTTGCGGGCGGTGTCACGAGAGAAGGGGCAGTTGTTTCCTCCTTTTTTCGACGGCCAAAAAAAGCAGGTTCTCAGAGCCTGGTTTGACATATTCTGGCAATTTTGGTGTGTACGAAAGAGTCCCAAAACACAACCAGACACAGTGTATCTTTGCATTCAAGAGGTACGCGTGGTGTTTTCGCACAGTCGGGAACAGAGGTGTCGTTCGTGACAGCGTCGACCTGCCCCGTGTGGTTGGTTGTGGCAGGTCTTGAAGAGGATGGCCAACCACACGCCGAATCGCTGGAGACGGACTGGACCAGGGGTGCCCGAAAGAGTGGGCATATTCAGTCCTAGACTAGTAAGGTGACCAGAGGAATTGGCGCAGTCAGCTGCTTCTCGGCGACCCTGGCGCGGCATAGCCGTTGCCAGGCGAGCCTGCGGTGGGTGTGCAAATAATGCCTTGTATGTTGCACTAATATGGATATGCTTGGCAAATGACTTTTATCTGCCCTCCCCGCGCAGGAGACAGAGAAGGGAGAAGGAGATAACCCCCTCCGTCTTTATAAACATGACCATCGGCATCACTGTTACAATCCCATCATGACCATCCACCATCATCACCATCACCCACGTGTGACCATCCACCAGCATCATGAATTTCACCATCCCACCATGACGATCCACCGTCAATTTCATTATCGCACCTTCACCATCATCATCACTGCCATATTCCCATCGTGGCCATCCACCATCCACCGTCATCGTCACGATCACCATCCCATCATGACCATCCACCATCATGACCCCTCGTCTGTGGCTGAATTGAGGAGAAGTCCCGAAATCATGCTGGTAATCGGAGGCGGCCGTTGGAATACCACGTAGAAGCGCAGGTTTGGTGACACCCAGGAGAGTGAATACCGCAGAAGGCTCGATCGGGAGCCCCGTCGATGAGTGAATTTCGAGGAAGGCTCGAGTTGGAGCCCCCTCCCTCCGGGGCGCGCGAATTATGCTGATAATCCTAGGCGGTCATTGGAATAAAACGCAAAAATACGTTTGGTGACAGTCTGGACCTTGAGTATTGAGGACGGGTTGAGCGGGAGCCTCATCGGAGAGTGGAGTGTGAGGAAGTCTTGAGCTGGATCCCCCTCCCTATGGGGCGCGCAAGCCATACTGATAATCCGAGGTGGCCATCGGAAAACCATGGACAAAGTTGGTTTGGTGACGCGCGGTAGCTTGAATACCGAGAAAATCTAGAGCGGGAGCCGCGCTCCTGAGGGGACAGAAAGGAAGTCTCGGGCGGGAACCTCGTCTGTGAGTGGATCGCAAGGAGGACTCCAACGGGAGCCCCTCCGTATGGGGTCCCCGCGTCACGTTGGTAATCCGAGGCGGCCATCGGGATTACCGGATACCATATAAAAACATGTGGATTGTGACACTTGGGAGCCCGAATGCAGAGAAAGGCTCGAGCGGGAGCCTCGCCACTGAGCAATCTGAGCGGATGTCTCGCGCGCCCACTCATCTGTGAGTGCATTGCGAGGAAGTCTCGAGCAGGACCTCCTTTCGATGGGGCCCCCACCGCATGTTGATAGTCCGAGGCGGCCATCGGAAAACCGCCTGAGCACATGTTTAGTGATAATTGGGAGCCCGAATCCCGAGAAAGTCTAGAGCGGGAGCCTCGCTCCTCAGCAGATTGAAGGATATCTCTCAGGTAATCTTGCCTGTGAGGAATTTGCGAGGAAGTCTCGAGCGGGAGCCCCCTCCCTATGTCGGGGGTGGACAGAACCCCCAACAGTGACACGTCGATTAGTGAATTGTCCGTTTTCGGTTCTCGAGAGGGCGCCGTGGCCGTTATTTTCCAGGTTTGCGCCCTCCAGGTTTAGGCCTCAGGTCGTTTTCACTAAACCACGTTTTACTAAAGGGGGTTCTGTCCATCCCCGAATCTTGCCTGTGAGTGATTTGCGAGGAAGTCTCGAGCGGGAGCCCCCTCCCTATGGGGTCCCCGCCGCATGTTGGTAATCCGAGGCGGCCATCGGTTCATTTGGAGCCTGGATCCCGAGGAAGTCTGGAGATGGAGCCTCCTTCCTGAGCACATTGGAAGTCTGTCCCGGGCGCTCGCTCTTTAGTGAATCACAGGGAAGTCTCGAGCGGGAGCCCCTCCATATGCCCCCCCCGCTTCACGTTACTAGTCTGAGGCGGTCATCGGGATACTTTGTGAAATCACAGGTTCGGTGACACATGGGAGTCCGAATCTTGAGAAAATCTCGAGCGGAAAACATCTCGAGCGGGAGCCTCGTTCCTGTGTCGGGCGTCCTTTGTATTCCAAGGTGGCCATCCTCAATCAAGCTTGCAAGCTTCGGCAAGGACCATCCGATACCAGACAGGAAGAGAGCCTCCGTAGTCACAAGGACGAGGATGAGGATCACTTCTAGATTAGTTTGGAATATTCTCATGCGGCGGTCACGTTGCATTGTTTTGCATTGCGTTACCTTGGGTTGCATTGTTTCGTATTGCTTGGCATTGCTTTACTTTGCGCCATATGGATTGCACCACATGGATCGCACCATCTAGATTGACCACATACGACACCGATTGCAAGAGACACGGTTTGGGAGCCACGCTGGCTAATATAAATAGTCCAGCACGCCAGGCACCTTTGTGACAAGCACAGGGTTGGCGGGCCTCCTGGCCTTCGGCCCATCCCGCCATTGTGCCTTGATTATAGGTCATAGGCCTCCTGGATGCCTGTGGGGCCTCCTGGGAGGTCTCTCGGAATCCTCTTGGAGGCGTTTTTGGTCTGTCTTCGTGTTTCTGGGGGCCTCTTGGGGACCATTCCTTTGGGCCTGTTTTGGGCCTCCTGGAGTCCTGGAGTTAAGGGGGGGCTTCTTGGGGGCCGGCTGGCGGTCTCTAGGAGGTCCCCAGGAGCCCGAAAAGGTGGAATCGCTTGAACCAATGAACAAATCAAGGGCAATCAATGGTCTTGGCCTCTCGGGACCCTCTTGAGGGTACTATTGGGCATTCCTTGGGCTGTCTAGGCGCTTCCTGGACACTCTGCTGGCCATCTTGGGCATAGTGGAGCGATTTTCAGGCGAGTCGGGACCCTCTTGGGCCGTGTTGGGAACGTGCATCACTCGGGGCCGTGGGCCCCTTTGCAGGATCCTCAGGACCGAGAACGGGGGACCCGAAGGACTTGAGGACACTTCAACTCGTGCCTCAGGCCACGATGGCGGCTAGCTACACACGTATGTGTATGTGTATGTGTATGTGTATGTGTATGTATATGTATTTTACTACAAAGAAACACATATATATACATACATGCATACATACATCCATACATCCATCCATCCATCCATCCATCCATGCATGCATGCATGCATGGATGCATGCATACATACATACATACACGCACGCACATGCATGCATGCATACATGCATACGTACATACATACATACTTACATACTTACATACTTACATACATATACATACATACATAAATGCATTCATTCATTCACTCATTCATTCATTCATTCATTCATTCATACGCACATGCATGCATACGTACATACATACATAGTTATACCTTTATATACATATGATGGAATTGCTCCCCCCCAAGGCACCGCCCACCTCGCGACCATCTGGGGGGACTCCTCGGTACAACCTTTCCGGGCGCCCAAGAGAGCCGCCCGAGGGCTTCAAGACGGCCCAGGACGCCACCGAGACAGCCCAAGAGTGCGAGTCAAGAACATTATACAGCGTGCCAAGACCCAAGAGGAGTCGCCATGACTCGCTCGAGTGTGCCGAGAGCCAAGAGGAGTCGCCATGACGGAAAGGGGTAGTGAATCGGGTTTTTGACTTCGGGGTTCTCTCCAAGAACAGTTCGACGGTCCTGGGTCCTGGGAGCGTTGGACAATTTCCAGGACCTTGTTCTTGATGCTAAGGGGGGGGGGGTGATGCTGCTCCTCCTCCTCCTCCTCCTCCTCCTCCTCCTCCTCCTCCTCCTCCTCCTCCTCCTCCTCCTGCTTCTCGGGCCATCCCCTCCCGTTCAATCCCTGGCAGGAGGCTCCGCCGCGGCGGCGCCTGCCGAGGGTCCGACGGTGCCCGAGGAGGCCCCCGCGGCGCCGGGGCAGAAGGCGACGGGGGGGGGAGGGGGTCGGGCGAAAGGGGGGGATTGGGAAAGGGGGGGTTACGAAACCAGCTACATGCAGCTGGTTTCGGCCCCGCCGCCGGGCCCATTCCTCGATACATGGGCGCCTCCTGGCGCCGGGAGGCGCCGGGAAAATCAGCTACGTGAGCTGATTCTCAAACCCCCCCTTTGCTATCCCCCCCTTTCGCCCGACCCGAGGGGAGGGGGAGGGCAGAGGGGGCGCCCAGAGTGCACCTGCGCCGATGCTTGCTGGGCCGACTCCGTGCCCAGGGTCGGCTCGTACGTTTCAGGGGGAAAAGAAACATTTGTGTGTATTTATTTGTGTGTATTTATTTGTGTGTCCTAATTTCCCTTTAACGTTCCTGGCCACAGCTGGGGGGGTCCCAGCGTGAGCCTGGCCAGGATCGGCAAGGGCTCCCTCGCGGGCGCGAAGTTATTCGCGCTTCGCGCTTCGCGGTCCTCGTTCCTTCTCCCCCTCCTCCTCGTCCTCCTATTCTCCCTTTGGGAGGGCGGCGCGAGAGCGCGAAGTTATTCGCGCTTCGCGCAGCGCGAAGCGCGAAGTTGGGAGCCCTAGATCGGTGTGGGTGTTGAGGCGCCCTCCCAGCGCGCTCGGGGCACGCGGCGCACGGGGCCCCAGGCAGGCTTGAGGATGACGGGTCATCTCTTGGCCTGCGCGTGCCCTGCCGACGGGTGCAGCCTTGACCCTTGTTCAGAGCCCCGATTCCTGATCGTGGTGATGATGCCGGTTGCGGTTTGGCGGTCGGTGATGGCGGTGTTGTTGTTGACGGATGATGGTGATGACGATGATGATGTTGTTGTTGATGATGATGATAATCATGATCATGGTGATGATGTTGATGTTGGTGTTGATGAGGATGATGATGGTGGTGTTGATGATGATGGTGCTGATGATGATGGTGATGGCGGTGATGATGATGATGATGATGATGATGATGATGCTGGTGATGGTGACGGTGATGGTGATGGTGGTGATGGTGGTGATCACGATTATGTTGACGATGATGGTAATGATGATGCTGATGGGGATGATGATGCTGATGATGATAGTGATGATGACGACGATGATGATGCTGATGATGCTGATGCGGATGCTGAAGCTGATGCGGATGCGGATGATGACGAGGTGGAAGATGACGACGATGGCGATCGGGGTGCTGATGGTGGTAGTCACTGAAGATGAAGGCGCGCTCGCGCGAACGTCGGCTGTCAACTCGGCGTGGGCGCCTACAGCCGCGTACTCCTTGCTGTGGACGTCGCCGCCCTTGGCCCCCCATCCGCGGGCGCGGTCGAAGCTAGCCCGCCCCTGCTCGGCCCGCCCCAGTCGCCGTCGCGGGAAACGGGAGCTGACCCCCTTCACCGCCGCCCACGCCCACGCTGATGTTGATCATGAGGATGAGCCGCGCTCGCGCGAACGTCGGCTGCCCGCGCGCGTCCTTTGCATGCGGCGGGCCCCGCGGCCCGATGCGGGCAGCGGCGGTCGCCGCAGAAGCCGCCGCCTCGAGCGGCCGCACGGCCCGTTGCCGTTGCTTCGGAGGACTCCGAGGATCGGGAGCCTTGAGACGGGGGTCAATGCAAACGGGGGTCAGCCAGAGCGCCGGATCTTGCAGGATCCTGCAGGGCCAGGGTCGCATTGACCCGGGTTTGGGTGCAGGATCCTGCAGGATCCTTCCCATTGACCCGGGTTTGGGTGCAGGGTCTTGCAGGAACTTGCAGGATTCTGCAAGACTTGACTGACCCGGGTCTGGATTGACCCGGGTCAGAAGATCCCCGAGAGGACATACGGCGCAGGCAGTTCGAAGCTAGTGTCGTCAAGGTGTTGCATGGAGATGCCCGTACAGGACGCCGGATCTTGGCGAGTAGCAGCGGCGTGCACCCCTCTTTCCAGCGGCACCGTGGACCACATGGAGGGCAAGGTCATCACAGACTTTGCCTGCGATTCCGTGGAACAGCGCCATGGCTTGAGGCAGAAGGCCATGAGGTGCAAGCCTCCCGTCGTGCAGCAGAATACTGTCAGCGCGGTAGTTTCCAAGACAGTTGATTGCAAGGCTTCTGGGACGAGTTCCTGGAGGAACTCGCGGCTTAAAAATATCGCCTCGAGCGGATCAGCCTCGGTGCATTAACTGGTTGGGCTCAGGGCTGGGTGTTTGGCTCCGTGCCTGAGGTCATGGCTGCGTCGTGGCGATCCGTTCTGGGCGTGCCGCTCCGGAAGGACGATGATGGGGCAGACGTTCGGCCCATCATGATTGGAGACGCCTTGCTGTCGTTGCCTGGGGCGTGCCCTCGGGAGTGAGATCGCGCAGGGCAAGGTGGCCAAGCTGCTCTCGGACTCGCTGCTTGGCATCGGGGTCAAAGCAGCTCTGGAGACCACGCTGTGCATTGGCAGGGCGTTGGCCACGATGTGTCCTGACGATGCGTTCTGTGCCCTTCTCATACACAATACCTTCGGCGAGATCTCCAGGGCCGAGATCATTGAGGAAGTGATCGCGGAAGTTCCAGAGATAGCGCCGTATTTGGTCAATATTTGAGGCCCTTGCGTCGCAGACAGTTGCGCGCAGCCTCGCACCCTGCGCGGGGGCCTTTAGAGGCTTGCCTGGGGGAGAGGCGCCGAGCGATGGCCTATGCGTGTACTTGAGGACGCTTGCGAAGCATGCGACGATTGACAAGATTACCGGCGCAGTTTCGTATGTGTAGTCCCCGTTGCCACCGGGTTCGAACCTAATTGGTTGCTGCATGTTCGCGTTTACATGCGTTTGCAGCATAATGTTCCCGACGCCGCCCCCTTGCAATCCGACCAGCAATGCGTGGGCCAATGCGCCACGGTTCGCCCACTGACCTTCGCTGTCGATCCACGCGACATGGTCGCACAAGAAGGTCGACGACGTCTCCGCACAGCGCGTGTATCTGATCGAACCGTTGCACCGACAGTTGACCGATCAGCACACTGATGGAGGAAACGATGCTACACCAGGCCCGACCTACTACGCACAGCTACGCCATCCACAAACCCCAGACTGCGCTCAACGACTACGCGCACAGGTCGAGCCAAACAAGCAGGACATGATCACTGAGGCCGACATCGAGAAGCACTTCGTCTACGTCTCACTACGGCTAGGCCATGAGTGCTACGGTCCAGCAATGGCTGGACAAAGGCCAGAAGAGAGGCGCACGTCGCGATCGCATACCGACCCGACATCAACGCAAACTACTTCAACTTCATACACAGCTGGAAACACCATCAAGCCGAGCTACGCTGACCACAAAAGCCGAGGAAATAGTCATATTACATGAAATCCCATTACAGACCCGATCGCCAGCCACTCATCGACGGCGAGGAGCCGCCAATATATTTTCGCAAAGCACCACTCACACGCGGCACATAGGAGCAGCTCAGCAACGACATCGACCAAAACAAGGTACGACTGAAATGCTCGCACTTCAACGAGGACGGCACCGATTCGAACCTCAAAAGAGACGCTATGCAACGGATGCTGCCAGCAGAGCTGGCACAGCACCGAGGGGAACGAGTTCGGGGGCGAGGACTACGCCATCCACGCGAAGTTCAAGTAAGCCGTAAAGAACTACGAGGCACGTTCTCTCATGTGCTCAATGACAGGCTCTCGCCACTACGTCGCTCCAGGGTTTGAGCTACTCTCACTCGCCGACTACAGCAGACGCATGACGCGCACTAGGCGCCTGGGCCCCCCGCCGGCCTTGGGCGGCGCGCGTGTTGGACGGGGCCAGCGCCGCGTCAATCCGCCGGTCGCGCGCGGGCGACCCGAGGGGGCGTTGGGCTGGGGGGCGCCGCCAACTTTGAATGCGAGCTGCTCGGTCGGTCGGGGGGCGCCGCGCGCTTCCGACCCGAATTCCCGCGCGGGCCCGGCGCCTCCAGCGCGCTGCGAGCTCGGGTCGCCGACCGGACACCCAGAGTGGCCTCGCATGATTGGAGACCTCGGACACGCGCCCATCACAGAGCCCTACAAAAGCAAGTGGGTCATTTACGGCGACTGCAACTTGTACTGCATTTCAGGCCGACCCGTCCGGCGTCCCACCGCGCCCATATGGGCCGCAATTCGCGTGCCACTCACCGAAGTTCGCGCAAACCCAGGGCGGTTTCCGTTTCCGCGCCGACTTACCACCAGACGATGAGCACTACGCTTTTGCGCGACACATTTGCAGTACGGCGCGGCATCGAGAAGGATTTCTACGACCACTTGGAGGAGTTATGACACATGTGAAACGGTCAAAAGGAAGATGTCACCACCAGATCCAACTATGCCCAATTTCGCCGCCAAGGAAAGGAGGGCGAACCACGGCAACATAATATGCGGAGACTGCCGCGTATACATCCCGCCCGAGCCGCCGCGGACACCGCCGCCGCCGACGCAGAATGACAATGACGCGCCAACGGCCGAATGGCAAGACGACCGGCACGAAGGTTCAACATCTCATCTTCAGAGGACAACAGCAGCGACAGAGGCGACCCATGGGCCAAGATGCTCCGAGCATCTGGCTTCCACGAAGCATGCCTATCACCGCTCAAACCAGACAGGCGCCATGCCCAGCGGCTGCGCCGCCTACCGCCACAACGCCGGCAACGCAGACGAGGACGTCCAAGGAGAAGACCTTTGGCCGCGTGCAGGATCCTTCCACCAGGCAGCCTACACCTTCGCATTCATTTCCCCCCACGACCACTTAATACTACCTGGGCGGCACAGATCTCAACGCATGCAGCCCCGAGATCATTGCGCGCGGCGACCGCGAGCAGTGCCTGCCGCAGCCGCCGCTGCGACCCGACTCCCAAGCCACGCCACCAACCACTTAGATTTCCCGTTGCGTTGTGCACGCAACTGATCAAGCTCCAAAACGCCGTGAAAGAGGACTCGCACCAACCGCTGCATAAACCGCCCAAGCAACCGGACTTCTTACGATGCTGCAACGGCGTGCATGCATGTGCGGCGCAAGCCTGCGACGGTGTAACATTCAGAGGGCATGTCGCCCACGCATGCGACCACATCGCTGCGCCCATCGCAGTCGGGCATGCACCGCTCAGCAATGCCAAGAACACATCCATACAAGAAGCAGCACAATGGCTCAACATCTACCGCGACGAGCACGGCATGACGCACAAGTGGGCAGTGCGGTTACGCGACGCACCACACATACTACAACGCATCTGCAACCCACAAGATCCTAGGCCACACCGCACCAGCAAGCGCGACGACAGCGACAGCTCCAACGACAGGGAAAGCATTGCCAGCACATTACAAAGGACCCAACACATACCAACCAAACCACCCACCATCTGCGCAGCCCATGCTTAAACCGCTCGCGCCAGCGCCACCACAATCATGGACCGCGAACAGCACGCCGACCAGCCCAGCAAACGCAGCTGACAACCCACGCAGCCAGACAGCGGAACACCAGACTACATAGCAGCCGACGCAACCTAAAGTGTTCACACCACGAGCAACCACGCAGCATCACAGCTCACCACACACGCAACCAGAACATAACACGATACCAAGCAAGCCCATGCCAAATATACGCAGTAGCAAGACTACCATTGCAACCGCGACCGCGCCGCAACGTTCAACCCACCGCCCGCGCACCTAGTCCTACAACTGGCGAACACCCCTGCCACCAACAATACAATTGCAGCGGCAACCACACTTGCACCTGTATTGTCTGCAATGATCAAATGGTCGCCGTCGTGCATATACATGCCGCAAGGCCCGCCGCCGCCCGCGCGCACGATACCGATCATATACCCGCCTGGGTAGAACATCGACACACAGCAGTGGCTTAAAACCATCCCGCGGCGACAGTTGCCACCGCGGGCACTGGCGACACGGCGCGCGCACATCTCGTCGCAAGCCGCTCAAGCAACTGCAGCGCATCAAGAGGCAGCGCGGCGCGGTGGGCAACGCGCACATCTTCTGCCGACGCACCATCCTCATCAACATGACTGGTGACCCCATGTTCCAGATTTACGTCGGCAGACTACGCGCGCACCAAGCTCGCTAGCAGACCTACCTCACTATCGCAAACGAACACACCAATGGAGCACCATTCAGGGAGCCTCAGCCCAAGCACATGGCGAGGATGCAGAAGACCGCGCCCGAATCCGAGCCGACGAACACAATGACGAGCCAACCGAGCTAGGCACGACAGGCGACCTACAATGCTCGGCACACGGCATAATACCGCAATTTCCACACCACGCACTCCCAGTGGGTCGGTTGCCGCAGAAGGACCCCTAGTGATAGGGCCGCACAGCCATGCCAGCAATCAGACAGTCAACCATGACCGCTGGCTTGCAGTGCACTCATCCACGTTCTTCCCGCGGCCCTTCTGACATGCCAGCGGCACTTCCCGATTATAGGTGTTCTGGCTGACCGGCGAAGCCCTGGGTAGCCGGCCAAGGATTGCCGTGTCTCTTTTCGTGCACATGTCCTTTTGCCATCCCTCCTCATAGTTGATGCGTCCTTTGTGCCCTTTCCTCATCGATCTATTGGTTCCGCTGCCTCGCTTTAGATTGCGCAACAAGTTGCCGCTACCGTCTTATTCAATAGTATGCCCTCCTTCTGTTGGCCTGCGTCCGCTTGCCAGCCGCGCGGCAAGCCTGCCCTTTAGGCCAGCCCATCGGCGCTCACATCCAACATTGGCTACAAGCACTCGTGCTAAACCCGAGCAGCATGATGCAAACAGCACGCGGGTTTTGGTTCCGAGGTGGTTCGGGGTAAACCCCAATTCGCCTGGCGAAGGACCCAACCATTGTGAATGCCGCAAATATTAATATCGTTTTCGGTGGCGCTACCTCTGGGTAGGGGAGACGCATGCGGGCGCACCCACTGGGGCCTTCGGCGGAGCCCCCTGTGGGGCAACGAAGCGCGGCCCGGGGTGGGAGAACCGCACGCGGGCACCCCCACTGGGGCTTTCGGTGGAGCTCCCTATGGGGCTACGAAGCGCTGCCCTGGGTGGGGGGGCCTCATGCGGGCACCCCAATGGGGCCTTCGGTGGAGCTCCCTTTGGGCCCACGCAGCGCTGCCATGGGTGGGGGGACCGCATGCGGGCACCCCCACTGGGGCGTGCGGTGGAGCTCCGTATGGGGCTAGGAAGCGCTGCCCACCGCATGCGGGCACCCCCACTGGGGCCTTCGGTGGGCCCCTTGAAAGGGGGCTACGACACGCTGCCCGGGGAGGGCGAACCGCATACGGGCACACCCACTGGGGCTTACGGCGGAGCTCCCTATGGGGCTACGAAGCGCTGCCCTGGGTGGGGGACCGCATGCGGGCACCCCCACTGGGGCCCACGGTGGAGCTCCGTATGGGGCTACGAAGCGCTGCCCTGGGTGGGGGAACCGCACGCCACTGGGGCCTTCGGTGGGGCTACGAAGCGCTGCCCTGGGTGGGGGGAACGCATGCGGGCACCCCCACTGGGGTGTGCCGTGGAGCTCCCTATGATGCCACGAAGCGTTGCCTTGGGTGTGGGAACCGCATGCGGGCCCCCCCAATGGGGCCTTCGGTGGAGCTCCCTATGGGCCCACGCAGCGCTGCCCTGGGTGGGGGAACCGCATGCGGGCACCTCCACTGGGGCTTTCGGCGCCCCCCCCCCTTATAGGGGCTACGAAACGCGGCCCTGGGTGAGGGAACCGCATGCGGGCACCTCCACTGGGGCTTTCGGCGCCCCCCCCCCCATATAGGGGCTACGAAACGCGGCCTTGGGCGGGGGAACCGCATGCGGGCACCCCCATTGGTGCCTACGGTGGAGTTCCGTATGGGGCTACGCAGCGCGGCCCTGGGTGGGGGAACCGCATGCGGGCACCCCCACATGGGCTTTCGGTGGGGCTCCCTATGGGGTTACGAAACGCTGCCCTGGGTGAGGGAACCGCATGCGGGCACCCCCACTGGGGCCTTCGGTGGAAGTCCCTATGGGGCTACGAAACGCTGCCATGGGTCGAGGAACCGCGTGCGCGCAGGAGGAGGGGGGGTGGGGAGGAGAGGGGAGGAGGAAGGACCCAAGGGAGGAAGGACGGAAGGAAGGAAGGAAGGACGGAGACGCGGGGCCCTGTCTCTTCACAACGAGGACCCAACACCACAGGATGGTTGCCCAAAAACCTTGGCTGCAACCCAGTAGCTGCCGCACGAACTTGTTCCCCAGTGCCTGTTTTAACACCGTTGGAAGCAAGCCAAACGGCAAACTAAGAACCCGGGGCGGGCCGTGGAGTGAGGTGGGTGGCAAGTCGGGTGGTACGACCGCGGCAGGTTTGGGGCTGCCCTGCAAAACCCTGGGCAGCGACCCTAGGATCGCACAGTATGGTATCTAAGATTGTCCAGCCTCTTTTCAGCATACCGGACACATGTTTCTTGTGACATGCGTGACCAGCCAGCAAGGCGTGCGCCAGCCACTCGCACATGCTCCTTCGCATGGCAAGGCTCAGCCAAGCTCATGCATTGCACATGCAGCCTCGGACACAGCCAGGCAGCAATACGTTGGCGACAGCCATTTTTTCAGTGCACGTCGATGGCTGCATGCTCCCACCCCCAGTGTATTAGCAGCTCCTCAGCAGTAGTGCTGACTACCTGGCCTTCAGTGCGCGTATCCTCCCTTTCCTGCGCGGCTCGTTGACGCGATGGTGGTGTTCTATCTTATGCAGGTTTGAGTGATCTCAGACAAACCTGGGTCGCGGCCCCAGGACTGTTTTTTTCTCGCGCTGCACGCGCTCTTCCTCGCCCCGCTACTCGATCCCTTTGTGCTAGCTGTGCACGCGTGCGTTTGGAGGCTTCCTGTACGACTTTTTCCTATTGTATGACCCTGGCTTCTGATGCAGGCTGCGTCCATCAGCGAGCCCCCACAGACGCCATCATCGCATTACACATGCAGCTTCGGACACAGCCAGGCAGCAGCACGTTGGCGACAACCGCTTTCCCAGTACACTCACTGCAATCTGCTTCGAAGTCGTACAAGCACCCTCGGACACAGCCAGGCAGCACTATTTGCTCGTACTAGCAGACACCTATACGACAGAGGATGGGAAGGGAGGTGAGGATTTGGGCGGCGATGCAGATGATGGATAGGTTGGGCGGACATGCTTAGATACGTCACTTCATGTACTTCTTGCTCGGCGTAGCTCCTTGCACCTTACCGTTTGTTTTGCCACCGAGGAGACGCTAAGTTTGATTAAGTGGGGGCTTTTGCTTCACTGCGCGAGAGGAGGTGGAGGAGGCTTCGCGACTAAGGTTAGTGCCAACCTCGAAGACCTTGCGGGTGCCTACCCTTCGCGCTACTCATTGCTTTGCTCCTTTTTATGTCATTTTCCGCGGTGCCCGCCAGGTATTTTTTTACCCGAGTCATTCCCTATTGGTGTACATGCTGCACTACACAAATGCAACAGGCTCGCACCTAATATCGGTCTAACGTACAAGGAGAAGGGTGACGAAAGTTATGGCGTGATGGAGTGGAGAGGGGGAGACATGCTGAGAGGATGCGGTCGCGAAAGCGGACGAGGACGCAGAGGAGGAGGAGGACCAGGAGGAGGGGGAGGAGGAAAAGGACGAGTAGGAGGAGAAGGAGGAGAAGGGAACGAGAGGAACGGAAAGGAGGAGGCATTGTGACGCCCAGGACATTCGCCCCCCCCCCCACTCGAGGTTCCCGAGGCTCTCGAGAGGAACGCGGCGACCGAGGTGCCTTCGCCCAGGAGTCCGCGCTGGGGCGCGGGAGAGGGGTGGGAACGGGGAGTTCTCTCGCACGGTCCGGCCGTTCGCAGCGGCCGTTTCTCGGGCTTCGGGCGTTTTCTCGGGCCGGGCGAAAGGGGGGGATTGGGAAAGGGGGGGTTACGAAATTTGCTGCATGCAGCTGGTTTCGGCCTCACCGAGGGGCCCATTCCTCGATACATGGGCGCCTCCCGGCGCCGGGAGGCGCTGGGAAAATCAGCTACGTGAGCTGATTCTCAAACCCCCCCTTTGCTATCCCCCCCTTTCGCCCGACCCGATTTTCTCTCCTGTTCATGATTTCCTTTTTCCCTCCTCTCTGCCACTGCGGCTGCTGGGGGATGGGCCGCCCCAGTAAAGCCCCAGCGAAGGGACGGTGCCTTTGCGGGCGGGTCGCGAAAAGGTTCCCTTCGCGAGGCGGGCTTCGCAGATCCGGAAATCATCACGCGCCGTTCGTGGTTGTTCGCCGGCGCTCTGACGTGGGATGTCCCCCCGCCCGCTGAACCTCGCAGGGTGGGCCACCTGTCTTTGTTGAGCGCACGTTGTGGGTTTGTGGCCGGCTTCGGCCACGGCTGGAACCGTACATGCCACGCCACCCCCCGCCTCGCGCCGCTCGTAGTCGCCGCTTGTCGTTTCTCGTTTTCGCTGGATGGGTGTGCCGAGGATGCGCCCCGTGGCCACCCGTGCCCGTGACCGCTCGTGGCCGCTTGCAGTCGCCGCCGATCGTGGGCGTTTGGTGGGTGTGTCGGGGATTCGCCCCGTGGCCACCCGTACAAGGTCGTGGCTGCTCGTAGTCGCCGATCGTCGCCGCTCGTAGTCGCTGGTTGGGTCTGTCGAGGATTCGCCCCTTGGGCGCGAATGGCCGCCCGTAGTCCGTAGTCGCCGTTTGTAGTCGTTGCGTGGGTGTGTTGGGGATTCAGGTGCGGCGGCTCAATGACAAGTTGGATGGATCAGTGACTTGGTTGCTGTGCTCCTTACTTGCGCGGCGTTGTCCTTGGCCGGCTGGGAGGGTCCTGGGTGTGGCCCCCGCGCCGCTTCTGGTGGCGCCTTCTGCCTCCGCTGCCTCCCGTCAGCCGTGCGTCTCGCCGGTGCCGCCCCTTGGCGGCCGTTGGCTGCTCTGCGGTGGGTGTGGCCGGGCGTTCTTGTCTCTCCCGGCTGTGAAGTGTGCTTTGGCCGGGTCGGCCGCCCGTCCCCGCCTCTCGCCCCGCCGCTGGGCGCTCCCGGTCGGCTGGGGGCCTGCCTCGCCAGGGCTCGCCTGTTCAGCCGCCGCAGTTCAGCAGCTTGCGGCCCGCAGCCGCAGTTGTCGCCCAGCAGTGCAGTTGCTGCAGCCCTGCTTCTCAACCCCTGACTGGCGCCTCGACAGCATTTTGCTACATGTTCTCGCGGACCCACCCCCTCGTCGCTTGGCGACGCCCGCATCCCGCGTACGCCGTATCCCCTCAGCAAGTGCTGGCTCCCGCGGCTACATGTCGAACACCAGGATGCTCCCGCTCTCGTTGCTGTGGGTCCGCTCGCCATTTTTGCCGTAGTGTCTCTATTTGATCTACGCCTTCTGCGCTTGCAGCCCCTGCCTCAGCCCCTGGGTGTGGCCGCGTTGCCGCTCTGCGACTACTGCCAGGCTGCTCAGCACGGGCTGCCCGCACCTGCCACTCCTGTCGAAGACCTTCGCGCGCAGTGAGTGCCCTCTCTCTCTTTCCTCTCCCTCCGCGGCCGCCCCCCACCCCCTCCTTTCCCTCGTGCCCCCGGACAGCTAGTTCGCCATCTCCTGACTCATTTGAGCGCGCGTGCGGGTCGCCTCTGCCGCGCTGCGACGGAAAGAGGGCGTGCCGCGGATTCGCCACGGGGCCGCCTGCGTCCGCTCGTGGCCGCTCGTGGTGGTCGTTTATCGCCGCTCGTAGTCGTTGCGTGGGTCTGTCAAGGACTCGCCGGTGTACTGGGTTGGTAGGTGCGTCGATGGGTCTGCTGAGGTTTCGCCGCGTTGCTACCCGTCGCCGCCCATAGTGGTTGGATTCGCCGACGTTGTGCAGCGCTGCCGCTCGATATCGTTGTTCCATCGTTTGCATCATGCAGCTGTTCGTTTGGTACCCGCGGAGCTCATCCTCATGTTCGCCACTGTATGGTTTTCGTTAGAGGGGCACGTTCTCACGGTGACGTTGCGGGCGCAGTGCGCCCGCACGCTGTGATACCACACGACAACATCGTTGGCTCAGTGTGGCACCAGCCTTTTGACATCCGACATGCTGTAGCCAAGGGCGCCTTCGAGGGCGCGAAGTTCTTCGCGCTTCGCGCTTCGCGGTTCGGCTCCGATTCCTCTTCGTCCTCTCCTTCTCCCCTGGGAGGCGGCGCGGGAGCGCGAAGTTATTCGCACTTCGCGCTTCGCGCAGCGCGAAGCGCGACATTGGGAGCCCTTGTGTAGCCGAGGCGGTCGGAAATAGTGGTGAGCTGACTAGGCGTTGCTCTGCATCCGGGCGGGGGCGCCGGGTGCCTGGTATTTACGCGCGGCGAGCTCCGTGTTGTACACCTTAGGCGATGCTTCAGAAAACTTAAATGTTCGGCCAGGGTCTCGATTATTCCTGATGTTTCAACGTAAATCCTAAGACTTTAGTAGGAATTTCGGGTTTTAGTCAAGTTCTGAGACTATGAATTTCTTAACCCATGATTTCTTGAGCATTTCGCAGGGTGTACTCCTCGTGCTCGGCGCACCTGCAACATTTACAGCACATCGCTCTGGCCAGATATAGTGCACCACACATCTTACGTAGCGCACACAGAACATAGTACGCCACACATATGATCATATCACACGGCAGGGCTTACATCATATAGCCTTCGCCGCGTCTATCACACCACACAGCTTACATGACAGATGTTGTACAAGATAACTTGCATGCCCACACTGCAATATTTAACAGTCGGTCCACTGGCGAGCATATTCACAACGCCTTTTCCAACATGACCTGTCCTGACGAAGCCGTATGGGGACGCCGCTGCGTACGCGCGGCGCTTGTGGTTCGTATTCCATTGGGTAACACAGGGGAGGCCTTCGCCAAACTCGCGTCGGCTTTGGCCCATGGTGCACGCCCATGTTATTTTGATTATTCTGTTGCCATAATACATCAGTCTCCATGCAGGGCGGGTCAATTACTTGATATTGTTGCGCAAGCCTCGTGGATCTCCGATACAAATCCGTGTGCCGCAGGTCCACCATGGCACGTCATGTATGAGCCCGTATGCAGCACTGTGCGCAAGGAGGGAGCTTGGCCAGTCCAGCGTGCGGCCAGCCGCATAAACATTCATCCCGCCCTGAATGGAATACGTTATGCGGGAGGATGGGGCGCCGCCGCCTTCCTGTTGGCCCTTGGCAGGCCCCGCTGGCGGCCACGCAGCCGTCCGTTTGCCGCAAGGTGCGCTGGCGTCGCCGCGTTTATGGGGCCCCTCCCGCTCGTGCCCCTCGCCCTCCCCCCCCCGCACGCTGCTTCTCTCAGACCATGACAGCGATTCGTTCCAACATCATTTCCGGGTTGTCCGTTTAACCCCGGGCCAGGGCCGAGGCATGTTGTATCATCTTTTCCGCGCGGCCGTGGACGAGTGGCCGAGCACGAATTGCTGGGGGCTGCACGAGACCTTAGAAGTCTTAGAACTCATCATGAGCCAGTCGCATCATGACATGAATGACTCTCTTCCCCTCTCCTGCGACCTTCGCCCCCCCCCCCCGCTCCGCTCCTTCCCCTCCCCGCTTCTGCCCCATCTCTCGCAGGCCAGGCTGCCACCCCCCCCTGCTCCCCCCCCAAGCCACCGCTCCTCGCCCCGCCGTCCGAAGCGGGGCCTACCCAAGACCACTGCCCGGGGGACTCCTCCTCCTCCTCCTCCTCCTCCTCCTCCTCCTCCTCCACCTCCTCCTCCTCCTCCTCCTCCACCTCCTCCTCCTGCTCCTCCTCCTCCTCCTCCTCCTCCTGGTCGTGCTGATGATGACGATGATCGTCCTCAGTTCGTCGGCGATGACCGGCGGCGGACATGGGTAGATTGTGGCCCCGGGGAGGCCAAGTACATCCATGTCCACCGCCTGCCGCGGTTTCAGAAAATCGATCACACGGGCGGTGGTTCTGGACATATCCCTGCCTCGCCTTCCTCCTCCCAATTCCGCTCTCCACATCATCCTGTCTGTCGACCATCTTGTGGGTTCCCTGCTCATACATAAGCAGATCGTTGCTTGATAGGACGGGCGACCAGTTGGAGGGCGCAGTGAACAACGAACCGCCCCAGATGCTGCACGGCAACGTGCCGCAGGTCGTTGTGGAGACGGACGGAGGCTCTTGCGACCGGCAGTTGCCGATTCTCTTTCAATCAAGTGGCCCCAGCAGGTTTGCCCCAGGAGGGTGTCGACGGGGCTGCCCAGCATGGGGCGACGAGAAACTAGAGCAGCAAATTGAGGATCATGCGAAGGGTGAGGAGAAGGAAGTGTGAGGTAGGACGCGGGGGAGTGGCGGAACGATCATCGTGGTGTGGCGTCTTGTTGTTGTCGGGAGGATGTCCGGCACACGTTTGTCATCGCAATTCTGCCGATGTGCTTGGTTCGGCTCCAGGACGCCTGCTGGCGGGAGCGGTTGATTCCTCCCTCCCTCCTTCTCATCCCCTCTGGGTTTTGTGCAGATCTCTGGATCGACGTCGCGACGCAACGCAGGGGCCGCAGGGAACAGTCCAAACAGTCCTTCGCATTCTCCTTCCGCTCTCCCCTTCTCTCCACAGCATTCTAGTTTCCTTCGTGTGTCCCGCCTGCCTCTCCCGCTCTTCTCCTGCTGCTGCTGCTCCTCGTCCTCCTGCTCCTCGCCCCGCACTCTTCCACCCCACTCCACCTTCTTTCGAACCTCAAGGTCGCCGGCCCAAATCCGCTCAAAATCTGTCCCAGGACCCCTTCCGGGTTCACTCTTGGCAAGAATTCCACATTGTGAACACATTTTTTTAAGGATTGTTGGGCCCAGAGAGGGCTTCCAGAGTTCGACACCATAGATTGATGTGTGTTCGAAGTTCTTCCTCTAAGCTCAAAGCTGAAGACTATCTTAATGCAGATTGGAGCCCTCGGCCTCAACCTACAGTGCCAGTGGGATGGGAAAAGAAACACGAGGGAAAGAGAGAGAGCGAGAGAGAGAGAGCGCGAGAGCGAGGTAAGGAATCACCGAACGGCGGACACGACGTACACTTCAGGAGGGAGTGAGGTGGGGAGCTGCTGGCGGCCGGCGTGCTCATGGGGAGGTGGCCCGAGCGAGAGCCTCAGCCTCTTTAAGGGGAAGTTGATACCCAGCTCCTCATGTGCGCGGTGCCGCAGCGAAGAGCGGAAGTGCTGCGGGGGGGGGGCGGGAGGCGCGGCATGTCATGCCCCAAGCAAGAAGCGTGCTGCGTGGGTGGGAGGGGGGATGGGGGGCACGGATGAAGAGGCGGTGCGAGTGGGCGGGGGGGTGGCAGGGGGCGGTCCGAGCGGGGCCCCCACCCTCCGGAGGGAGGGCTGTCGCTCCCTCGGCGTGGCGCTTATAATCGCTGCGCGGCCAGTTGGTCCACGTCCGCCGTGGCGGTGTACCCCCACGGCGGCCTGTGCCGAAGCTTGTTCTTCCCTACACCTTAGGCGATGCTTCAGAGAACTTAAGTTTTCGGCCAGAGTCTCGATTATTCTTAACGTTTCAATGTAAATCTTAAGATTTCAATAGAAATGTTGAGTTTTTCTTCAAGTTCTGAGACTATGAATTTCTTAACCCATGATTTCTTAAGCATTTCGCAGGGTGTAGTCCCCCCGCTCACCTCACCTGCGTAGCCCGCACCCCCATCCCCCGTCCCTCGGGTCCTGCGCGGCGCAGCGCGGGGGTCAGGTTGGGAAGGTTAGAGTGGGAGGAAGGCGGAGAAGGCAGAGGGCTGTGCAGGAAGGAGACGGGCTGTTAGGGGTTAGTTACCCAGAGTCAGGTGTGGGGGCTTCACGTGCCCGGGTGCCTCGGGTGGGAAGGTGATCAATGCTTTCTCCTTTTCCTCCTCCTCCTCCTCCTCCTCCTCCTCCTCCTCTGCCCCCCCCCCCTCGCGTCCCCTCGCCCGTCTCGCTCCCTCCCGCGATGGACGAGGCAGTGGCGGTAGCGATGGGGTGTGCAGGAGCATGAACAAGGAAGGCGGGGAGCGCGCAGGGGCGCAGGGCTGACAAGAGGATTGCGGTGGCTCGCGATGAGACGAACGCCATGAAGCCATCGGGTCTTTGAAGGGGCCCTGGGACACACAAATAAATACACAAATAAACAGATTCCCCATATTTTCCTATATTTTCTTGGTTTTTGTCTTCCCCACCACTTCCCATATTTTCCCATATTTTCCTGGGGATCGACGATTAATTGTGTCTGTGTGTTTTTTTCCCCTCCTGAGTCTTGAGGGACCCGTTCCCTGAATTGTGTTGCCGTTTTGGGCCCCCCGGGGCCTCCCACGGGCCCTGGGACTGTAACACACCTACACCTTGGGCGATGCTTAAGAAAACCTAAGTTTTCGGCCAGAGTCTCGATTATTCTTAACGTTTCAATGTAAATCCTAAGATTTCAATAGAAATGTTGGGTTTTTTACGCAAGTTCTGAGACTATGAATTTCTTAACCCATGATTTCTTAAGCATTTCGCAGGGTGTACTCAGGATGAAGAATCAGCTCTGGGAGGGAGGCCCCGGGGTCTGGGGACCCGTCTCTTCGAGGTCAAAACGAGGACCTTGGCCAGGTTCACCCCGAGCCCGCTGGGGGCCCTTTGGCCCAGAACTTTCTGGGGGTGCTCATTCCGGTCCTTCCTGAAGCCATGCTCCATGAGAAGCTGATCGAGGACGCCGACGAAGATGCGTCGAGCTCAGAATATTTGGGCGTGTGCGAGAAGGGGCTCCGCCGGGCCCCCGAGAGGCCCGTTGACGGTGCTGCTGGCGCTAGCCCTGGGGATGCTGGCACTGGGCGCTGCCTCGCTGGTCCCGCCCGCGGCCAGGACCTCCGCGGGCTCCCCTCGGCGCCGCGGCCTACAGACCAGGGCTCACAGAAGGAACATGGACCGACCGATACCGCTACGCGTCCCTCGTCGCCACGGCTGGATTCGCCTCGAAGTCCTGGTCAGGACGCACTGCGGGAGAGTCCGGGGAGCAGCGGGAATCGGCATCTCTAGGTTCTCTCAAAGGCGCCCTGCGGAGATCCGGCGGCCCGCCGCAACTCACGCCCACGCCAGGCCACCCTAGGTTCGCGTGGTGACGACGTGACGGTGTCCCTCAGCGCATGGGTTCTCAAGGTTGAACGCCGCTGGCGGGGGTGGAATCGGCCGATATCGAAAGATCTGCGACATCGGAAAGCTGCGATCGTTCATGGTTGATCGATCCACGCGGGGTCAGGAACCAATGCCCATGTCGTCATAGCACGAATTTGCCGCAGTCAGGCTTGGGTGATGCTTCAGGCAGGCTCGCGAAGGTGAGACATGCTTCCAGATCCCTTCGCAGAAACAGTTAGCGCCTGTTGCTGGCTTGATCGGTACTCGCCGCTTTCAATGCGCCTGACCTCCCGCATCCTCTCCTCATCCCCTGATATCTGGGCGCCACATGTTTTTCACATTGGGCGTTCTCGCCCTTCTTCCGATTGGGCTCGGGAGAAGCGGCCGAGCGATAGTACCGGTAATTAGGGCTCGGGCCGTGTCTTTCAATTTGTTGTAGCTCTTATGCGACGCCGGATCTCAGGGTCCGCTCCCTCGGCATCGTTTGCTTCGATTCTTGGCCTTCGGGCTCTTCCACGTAGCCACGGCTGGGCGCGACTCGAGAAGCTGGTCTTCTGAGAAGGTGCCCTGCCTCAGAGGAACCATCTTGCCTTCTGGGAGACCTACTTGAAGGTCTCTAAGATCAGAAGGGCCAGCCCATTTCAGAAGCCCCCTTCCTCAAGAAGGCTGCCCCCTCGCCCCGATCCCCCTTTTCGCGCCGTCAGCCGTCACCCGAATCGCCCAGACCCACGGCGTCCTGACAGAATCCCATGGCGGCCAGTGGTTCTGAGTCTGTTCTCCGCCCCACAGGTCAGAGGCAACGCAGGGGGGAAAGTCCCAGGGGGGTCACATCGACCCCCATCCTCCCATGGAGAGGGCAGTCTGGGGCGCGAAATACGCATGAGTGTCGCGTGCTGAATTGTTGGGCCATGAGGCGCCAAGATTCCGGCCGCCAGGGGGCAGCACAGTCAAAGGCCAGAAAATTACGCAGACGTAGGTTTTGGAAGGTCCGCGCTGCCGTTTTAGGCCGGCGCGCGTCAGGGGAAGGGTGCTGGAGGGATTCCTATCGCCGACCCAAGGCGCCCGCGTGGGCCTCTGGCAAGTCACGTTCAAGATGTTGTTTCTTGGGAGTGGCGCCGGCCAGATATCTAGGCCCTCGAGGTGGGCAGGGGAGCGGTCTTCCCCGTACAACTAACGCGGCACCCTGGCCACATTCTTTCTGTTGAACGTGTGGATACCGCGCGTGCCAGCTCGAGGTTGGTGCATCCCCCTAGATCCGCCATGAACTTGACGGGGTCTACAGGGCAATGCAAGAGCGCACAGGAGTACAAGTTAAGTCGAAGGAAGGCGATGCAATCCGTTCAGGACCTTGCAGTCGGCGCAGGGCAATGCAAAGCAATGTTTGCAAAACATCGCATATCAATATTTCGCAAAACCACTGGTACCCAAACTCCCCTGGTTCGCAAGAGACTCAGAGGGCGCAGCCCATGGCGCAACCCATACTTACGGATCAGCCTATTGCACTCAATCGCTCCCGCGGGTGCAATCAATTGTATACATAACGCAACCTGTGGCACTCAAAATTCGCACGGGCGAAATCGATTCAATGGGCTGGGATCCTGGCGACGCCAAGGGCGCCCGAGATTCCCTTTGGTCTCATAGCCAGCTTATGCAGGCCAATGGAGACCCCCATAACCCCCCTTCCTTTGGGTGGCTGTGACGAACTCTTTGTGACCTCGTCTGACCAACACTAAGATGTAATGCTATTGTAACGATCGTGTCTGAAAAATGTCTTCACCATAAGTTTCAAATAGTACATTTTGCCCTTCTGGGTGTCTGTGCCTGCCTGCAGCGCAGAAGTGTACAAAGTGACTGCACCGAAGGGTGTCAGTGGCAACGGCGTCGTGGTGACTGTTCCAAGGGCCTCTTGTCATATCTTCCACTACATCTGCCTCGGCTTCCATCTAAGTACAGCCCACCAGTCGTGTCCGCTCTTGTCTTCGTGCCTCCAGGGCTTCGATCGGGCGCCCCGATCCCAGAGCGTGGCTGGCGCCAAGTCTGAGGGGTCGTCGTAGAAACAAGGCCCCAGCGCCGACGCGAGAGATGCCCTCGGCGCAAGGGCCGCTAGTATTGCATCGAGAGCAGGCATGGACGCTGGCGCCCAAGCGATCGCGCCATTCTGCATCAAGGATTGTGGCTGGCGCTATGGCGTGAGCGTCGAAGTGTGAGGACTCATGGCTGGCGGCAGCCAGGCGAGGGCGCGCAGCTGCGCCGAAGATGCGGACGGCACTCGCGCGAGAGCCCCATCGGGGTTGTGAGTGTGCCCCCCCCCCTCGCCGCTTGCTCGGCCAGTGCAACCTCACTGGATGTTTGGAGCTGGTCTGGTAGCTTCTGGATAGTTGCTTGCTTCCTTAATATTCCAAGCAGGATGTTATCTCTGACTCTTGGGGATGTTTTTGTTGCATTCGGAGACGGTCCCTGGCCTTTCAGAGCTCACCATTGCGCCCCCCAGCGCTGCGTCGCCAACCCATACTTGGAATCTTCATGCTTGTGCCACCACTTGTTGCATTAGTCTGCCTTCAGAGTGCCTCTGACAGCGTTGGATAGAGTCGGAGTGCTTCGGATGGCCCCCGACTGCCTTGACTGTCCTCGGATTGCTTCGGAATAGGGCGTGGCCGGGCCAGGACGGCATCTGATCTTGTCGTCCTTTGCTTTTTTCCCCAACCATCCTGTGGTGTTGGGTCCTCGTTTTGAAGAGACGTTGCCCGGCGTTCCTCCTCTCCTCTCCTCCTCCCCCTCCTCCCCCCTCCTCCCTGCGTTTCACCCATTCAGTACACCGTTTCGTGGCCCCATGGGGAGATCCACCGAAGGCCCCAGTGGCAGCGTTCGCATGGCGGCCTCGGGCCATTTCGGCACACCCCTCACAAGGATCGTGGCCCCATAGGGAGCTCCACCGAAGGCCCCAGTGGCAGCGTTCGCATGGCGGCCTCGGGCCATTTCGGCACACCCCTCACGAGGATCGTGGCCCCGTAGGGAGCTCCACCGAAGGCTCCAGTGGCAGCGTTCGCATGGCGGCCTCGGGCCATTTCGGCACACCCCTCACAAGGATCGTGGCCCCATATGGAGCTTCACCGAAGGCCCCAGTGGCAGCGGTCGCATGGCGGCCTCGGGCCATTTCGGCACACCCCTCACGAGGATCGTGGCCCCATAGGGAACTCCACCGAAGGCCCCAGTGGCAGCGTGCGCATGGCGGCCTCGGGCCATTTCGGCACACCCCTCACACGGATCGTGGCACCATACAGGGAGTTCCGCCGAAGGCCCCAGTGGCGGCGTTCGCATGGCGGCCTCGGGCGATTTCGGCACACCCCTCACGAGGATCGTGGCCCCGTAGGGAGCTCCACCGAAGGCCCCAGTGGCAGCGTTCGCATGGCGGCCTCGGGCCATTTCGGCACACCCCTCACGAGGATCGTGGCCTCCACCGAAGGCCCCAGTGGCAGGGTTCGCATGGCGGCCTCGGGCCATTTCGGCACACCCCTCACGAGGATCGTGGCCCCATAGGGAGCTCCACCGAAGGCGCCAGTGGCAGGGTTCGCATGGCGGCCTCGGGCGATTTCGGCACACCCCTCACGAGGATCGTGGCTCCATAGGGAGCTCCACCGGAGGCGCCAGTGGCAGGGTTCGCATGGCGGCCTCGGGCCATTTCTGCACACCCCTCACAAGGATCGTGGCCCCATGGGGAGCTCCACCGAAGGCCCCAGTGGCAGGGTTCGCATGGCGGCCTCGGGCCATTTCGGCACACCCCTCACGAGGATCGTGGCCCCATAGGAGCTCCACCGAAGGCCCCAGTGGCAGCCTCCCTCATGGCTCTCAGAGCCTTTCCTGCTTCTGCTCCTCGGTCAGGGGGACGCCGTCCTCGTCGTCGTCGGCGCCCGCGAAGACGGCCACGAATGTGTCCCTGAGCATGTCGGGCTCCGGCGGGAAGCTGTGGCCACATCGGGAGCGCGGGCGAAGATGTTATTCACAATTGCGGTAGTCACAACTGCGTATGGTTGGGTCTTTCGCCAGGCTAATTGTCTGGCTCTGCCTGGTTTCTTCTCTACTTCCATCTCCGCCTCTGCCTCCGCACCTTTCGCAGACCTTGCGGCATCTTTTCCGGCACGCCTCCTAGAGATGTGTCGCAGTCTCCCGTCCCAGTGTCTCTTCGCCTCCCCTCCTCTGCAAAGGCGTCGTCTGCGCTCGCCCGCCCAACAAATAGTGGCAAGCTTGATCATGAAAGGCGTTCCGTGCCCGTGCGCCATATGATCTGCACGTGCGTCCCTGGCCTCACGACTCGTCGCTGTGGGGCATGTGTCGGAAAGGAGCCTCCACCCCCCAACCCACGCAGCTCCGAGCCACCATGCCCCCCCCAGCTGAACTTAAGTTTTGGACTGGCTGGCGTCTTGAAGCATGGATCGACGATGACGCTGCTGTGCCGCAGTGCTGCTGTGCCGGAGCCCCGCCATTGACGCAGACACTGGGCAACACACGCGTTCTGCAATTCGTTATTGATAGTGGTCTGGACGATCGCAGCCGGTCGGCGAAGGCTCCGAGCGATATTGAAATTTTAGACGTTTCGCGTATCCCCACCAGCCCATCCAGAAACGATGTCCACGCTAGTTGAGGATCATGGAAGTGCGGGAGCAAAGAGGGGGACGGCCAGACCGTGTGAAGGAGAGAGGGGGCGAAGGAGAATATTGGATGGATGAATGAGGGAGTGGG